GGGGATATCATATTTGTGTGTGTATGTCACATGTAGTCCAGCTGGAAACCTAAAATGGGAAAGCTTTCTCCACTGGCCTTCTAATAAACTGAACTACATTTTTCTTTACTCAGTAAATATTTGTTGAATATCTGCCAGTTACATGCAAAGCCACTTATTTGGGTCCCTTGCAAATATGAGATGAATCCCACTTGAACCTTGCTCTTGAGTTGCTCCCATTCTAATAGAGATACGGCCATGAAAAAAGAGCCACAATACAGGATTCAAAGTACATAATGATCATTGCCTTAGGAGTGAAAGGGTCTTGGAGCATCTTAGCCTTCCAAAGAGACATGGCATTTAAGATGATGCAAATTTGGGCATGTGGGAATAGAATAAAGAGTATCTTGAAAGGATGATTAATTGTAACATATGTACATAAAGTAATAAGTAATACTGTTTGTCTGGACTGTAGGATTGTGAAGAATGATGGAAAGTTAGATCAGAAAGAGAAGTTGATGCCAAAAGGAAAAGACTAGTGAATGCCAGGTTAAACATTTTTGGGTGTATTCTTCAGGTAACATGAATCCATGATTTCTAAATCTACTTCAGGGAGAGAGACAGACAGACAGAGAGTGACAGGTAGAAAAATAGAGAGTTTGAGAGTGATATGAAGAGATTGTTTTGTGTGGTTTCCGGGGTACTTTAAAAGCAGCATATAAAAGTCAGCTCAGAGAGATACAGATTATAGACTGACTTATCTTGGAAACAGTCCAACCCCCATGTTGTACAGGTAGGGAAGTGATCTAGTGAAGATCACACAAATTAGTTTTAGTACAAAGACTGGAATCCATGTTTCTTGACTCATACTTCTAATACTCTTCCATCCCCATCTTGCTATTTTGACATTGTAACATAACTTGGACTGAGACAAATTAGAGGCAAGAAAGAATAACACTGGGGTCTTACAGCCAAGAAAACTTTTTGAGTTATTTCTAAACTTGACTTGTAATGAATCATCAAGTTGGAGCTACAAATAAATGGCATCCTAGGAATATAGGGTTAATGATTTTTGTTGTCTAAGGCCCTAGATTAATAGCCATTAGTATGTGGCTGTAAGTTGGGTATGAATGGTGTTCATCTTTGATACATGTCACCTGGTTCACTCATTGAAGAAACGATAGCCCTGGAATGGTCATGGTTTCAGGTAGAATTGTTTTCTGGCCCTAACAGTATAATGTATCCTTTCTGACTGACTCTTAGTTCAGTAACCAGCAGAAATGAGGCAGTACTGTCAGCTCAGATAATCTATGAGCTGCACCGAGGAAGCTGTCTGCTATAGCTTAGCGGTTCTCAGTCTTGGGTATACATAACATCACTTAGGGAGCATTGACTCTACCCATGTACTGATGCCACCCAGTTAGGAGCTCTGTAGTTGGATTCCAGGTGTTACATAATTTTAAAGCTTTTTGCATATTCCCAATGTGAAGCCAGGGTTAAAAACCACTGGTAGTTTGGATTGCATGGACTTCAGCAATCAGATGGGCCTGGTTCTGTTGCTAATGAACTATGAACCACAACTTCTTATCTTGGAGTAGAAAAAGCATAGTAGGATTCTTCAGAATTATGGACAATATTAATTAACAAACATGTATACAAAGTCCTAATTATGATACTACAGTATGTGAAACAGAACAGATATTCAATAAAAATGTATTTGCTGTTACTGCTTTTTACCAGTATTATTGACAATTTTATACTATCAGTAATAACAAGAAAACAGCAGACCCTGGGGAAGGTGGTGGATATGGAAACCAGAGATTTGAATTTCATTCCTCACTCTATTACTTATCTAGCCACATGTTTGTGAGTGAATTGCTTTACCTTTCTGAACCTTAGTTTCCTAAGATTATATGAAGTTTACTAGAAAAATAGATTATTAAATTTTTAGTGTAATTCTGTATTTCCACCCAAGCGCTAAAGGAGCATGACATGTCCAGAAATGTAAGATACAGACTAGGTAGGGAGAGAGAATTTATATGTATAAGAATGAGTAATGTTTTCTTTGTTTCTTCTCTAGATAACCAGTCACACTGTATTACTATTATCTCTCTTTATACCTGTCTCACCAGAATGGCTAGGTGGATGAATTAAAAAGCATACATGCAGACCAATATGTAAGCACTTCATGAACATTTGCATGTTTGGAAGTTATGTATGCCTGCCAGAATATTCAGGGAGTAAGGTTTGAGCTGAATCTTGAGTGATGGTTACAATGGAAGTGACATGAGATCAGGAGCATGTGTAAGGAAAAAGAAAGAACACAATGTTACACTTACCTATGTGCTAGGTATGGTCTATAATGCATCTCATTTAGCTCTTACATTCATCTGTGGGGGTCACATTATGCTCATTTCCAAGATGAGGTAATGATAATCAAAAAGGTGAAGTAACTGTCCAGAGTGTCATAGTTTGTAAATAGAATGAGAAGCTAGATCTATACAGTGCCAGACTCTGTACTTTCTCTAGCATATTAAAAAGTAAGGGTCAAAACTGTTGTTCTTCTGTCTCCTTGGTTTTATCATGTTGTCTTACTGGATTTTATTATATGTGATAGTATAAACAAATATTTTTATAGGCAAAAAGATAATATAAAAACTATTGTTCGTTTTCCGTTAGCTGGTTCTAAATACCCTGTAATACTTTCATCCTATTGAATGGTTTCACACTGCCTTGATATGTTTGAAGCCATAGTATATGAAGTTATACTCAAATATTTCAAGGAAAGAAACACTATGGTAACTACTATTAAGTCGGGTTATCTTGTGGTGAAGCACTAGGTTGCTGAAATTGTTATGCTTTGACCTGTATTGTTATGTTGGTATGTCCTCTTTTATCTCAGTCTCCCCCTTTTTTTAAAAACAATTGTTAATTTATTTTTATTATTATTTTTTAATTAAGGGAAAATATTTTAAAAATTAGCAGGATATATTATGGTAACTTTTTTGATTTTCTATTAACTTGATTTGAAGCCCTGTATTGTTCCCACCATCTTGTTTTGACTGATTTTACTCTGTTCCGTTCTGTTTGATAGTATCAAGTTTGAAGGTATAGGCAACTACTTTGAAGGCAATAAAATTCACTATGATGCCCATTCTGGTTTGACTATTATCTTCTTTTGAAGTCCTATAATGTCTCCAATGTTTAGGTTTTATTGGTTTTGTTCTGGACTGTTTTGTTCAATTCTATTATACCTAATGAAATAGGCAATTCTTTTTAAGGTACCAAGAGGCATTATGGTAACCACTGTTGATTACCTTGTATTCTGTTTTTACATCATGTACTATGTCCATCCTTTGTTTTGACTGACTGCTCTGCTTTGTCATATTTGGTTTTATTCTCTTCCAAAAAAAAGTAATAAGAACTATGGGAGTAATAAATCCCAAAATGTGTAAATGTTGTTGTAAAAAAGAGAGAAAAAAAAAGTGCTCTAAAGGATACAACTGCAAGTGTGTTTAGGTGTGTTAAGATAGATGACCATATTACTAAGCTTTTGTTGGATCATTGAACACAACTGTTTGTAGTCTCACTGTTTGAATGTCCACTTTGTATGCTTTAATCTTGTAAATTGAACAAGTATTTCTAAGCTGACAATATGTAATCTATTAACTAGTGATTTCTTGCTTTTTTAAAAAAATTCTGTATTACTTGTACCCTTATACTGTTTTAGGTTTTTTTCTCCTTTAAATAAAAAAAAAAAAGTAAGAATCAGTGGCTCGCCTTGATCAGAGAGTGAGAAAAACAGTTTGATAGAGTATATCTGGTAGATAAGGTCCAGAGATGGTGAATTGTGGCCACCTCATGGACTGTCTTGAATTAATGTTAAGGAGCTTGATCTTTGTGCCATGAATTTTGGTCTTGAAGTTGAGGAAAAAGCATACGAATGATTAAGGAAAATTATACAGCAGAATCATGCAAGTTCTGTTAATATGTTTTGTGTTTTCTTTAAACATTTTTATGGAAAAACTAGAATGAACATCAAGATCTGATGAAACAGTTAAACAGATATCAGGATCTACTAATACGTAGTTGCACATACCTAAACTTCAATATTCATTAAGCTATGAGCCCTTTTTGTGCACTTCTTTTGCTTCCTATTTATATGTATATTTTTGTTCTGACCTTGTCCAAATCCTTGTCAGTATATGTATAGTATAATATGTGTTGGTTAAATGCTTGTAAGAATTAAACTGTTTGGTTAGTCTTTGTGATTATATCACTTTTTGCTGTCAAGATGCACAGGTTTGTGCCAGCTGGTTTTTATTTCTTTTTTGTGAATTAAGTCCTTTGAGTCTGTCTTTCACAACAGAATTACAGGACCAGCAAGTATACACTGTCTCATATATGTGATTTTGTATTTCATTCACGTTGTTCTGGAATGCTTGATGAATAACTAGATAGAGTGAACCCAGTTTTTAGTGCCATTGGAAATATATATCTGTTTCACCAGAATTCTGCCAGAATCATTTTTTTAAAAAATATTTATATTTTTTTTGTACCAAATGACTCAGAAATGAGAGATGTAGAAGCAGTAATGTAAGTTAGATGAGTTAGGCCTAAGTGAAGACTGGTATTTCAGTGACGTTACATATATCAAATTCAAATGCATCATCCATTATAGCAGCTGCTATATGACTGGCTTGTACTAAACATGTTATTACCTACTTTAATTCCCTCAATATCTCAGTCAAATAATGGAATATTAATCTTGGTTATATAACTGAGGAAACTGAGATTTAGGAAATTTATATGATAACCTAAGGCATATGAAGTTCCAGAGCTGGGGCTCAAACAGACTTTCTAAAGGGACAACTGCTAGAATGACCAAAAAAAGGACATTTGTTAATGACCAAGGAGAAGTGGCGGCCAACACAGGTAGCCCAGGTAACTCCAATATTGGCTCATGAGTAGTGTTCCTTTTGGCTAACTATTTAAGTCCCTGGTGGTGTATTCTCTTCCAGGGGATGCTGACAATTTCAGCAAAGTGCGGCCTCCAGGAGAAAAACCAACCATCATCCGCCCCCCAGTAAGGCCCCCAGACCCTCCTTGTCGGGCAACAACTCCCCAAAAGCCTGAATCAAAGCCAGAGATTGTGGTTGGCAATGCAGGGGAAATCCCATCATCTGTGTAAGTAGCATTGTTCTTAAACTTGACCTCAGGTCTATCATAGGCCACCAGGAATGCCTTCAAAATCACTATCTGAATCTGCTAAGTGCACAACCCTGGGGCATTATTCACCTCAGCATCTGGATACAATGCATAGCCAGGCCTGTTGGGAGTATTCCACTTGATACTAAAGGTCGAAAGATCCTCTCAAAAGATTTTGAACCTTAGTACCTCCTAGGGGCCCCATTCTTTTTAGTTTCCTTGTAAAGTGATAAACTTACTTTCTGTTTTTAGCCTACTTGGTTCTGGAAATTTCTTTTTTATTTCCTTGTTATTGATACTGGTTTTAAAATAATTTAATGAGTACATTTTTTTTCATCGTACTTGTGCTTGAGGTTTTTCTTTTTTTTAGCAAAGAGTACAATTTTTTAAAATCTTCCAGAATGACTCAAGTTCTCCAGAGAGCTTGTCACAGGGTAGAAGCTGAGCTGACATCTGGCAGGCCTCCCTAAGGCTGAGCTGCAAACCAAGAAATCAGGGAAGAAACACTAGCATGGGACTACAGCAGCGCTCAGGGACCAGCCTTGATGTTTACAGCTAGTCTGGTTGACTTCTCATCAGTCAGTGACTGGGACCCTTTCTTTGCATACTGCCTCCTGATCTTTCTTTTTCATGCATCTCTTGTTTTCCATAATTCTAACACTGGAAAAGGGACAAAGCCCCTACAGCTTTAACTAATTAGCTAATATATTTATAAAATGCCAAAACTTACACTTTGAAACAAGCAAACAAATTTGAACTGTTTTCACTTATTTCTCCTGAAGAAAATCCTGAATGGGCAACAAGTTTTGAGACCATTCTGGACCAACTGGGAGGGAAGGATGTTATCTGTAGCTTTGCCTATGGACTCTGGGGCATTTCCTATTCTGATACTGCATTGCTCCTGAGACCCATACCCTCTGCCAACAAAGTCAGGACCTAGCATTGGTAACCCATATGGTTCAGAGACACCTGTCTGTTTTATTTGCCCTTCGTTCTCCCTTGTATTCCAGAACAGTTTATGAGACTGAACTGGCTTCTCTTTGCAGGGTGGCTTCTAGGACCAGGTTCTTTGAAACAGCTTCCCGGAAAACAGGAAGGTAAGGACACAAGCAACAGCACAGCATTTTTAAATAATGTATCATAAGCTTCCCACTGGGTTTCATTATTACCTTCAATTTGTCTATTTCTCTATTGTTACCATATTCTCTCCCACCTCCAACTTTATCTGTCTATGTCTTTTGCTGTCTTGCTGTTTTATTCTTTCTATTTCTATCATTCACTTTCACTTTGTGTCTTTCTTACTGTCTTTTATTCTTTTTGCTTTTATATCTGTGTTTCTGATTGTGTCACTATTCCTGCTTTTTTTCTCTTAGATCTGTCTCTATATCTGTTATATTGTTTCTTGCCTCTTAACTTCTTCATCTGTTTCTCTCTGTTCCTCTTTCTCTGTCTCACAGACACGCACATTTGCACATGCTCATACACATGTATACACACCACGCTGTATTATAAAAAATTTATACCCAATGTAGGTTTTAAATGTGTTGATTTAGACCCCATTACATTTGAAAGATAGTTTTAGTGGATACATCAGACCACATTATATTTGAAAGATGATAGTTTTACTGGGTACATGAGTCTGGGTTGGAGGTTGTTGTTTTTAGGGCTTGAAATACTTCACTCCATACTCTCCTTGAGAATTTGTGTTGGCAAGTCGGCTATGATTCTGATGGGCTTTCATTCATGGTTGATATGTTTCTCTTCTCTAAAAGGTTTTAATATTCCTTTCTTGTGTTGAATTTCTGGAATCTTCTTGCTGTAGATTTTTTTTTTTTTTTTCGATCATGGCTAAATGGTCAAATTCTTTTTCCCTGCCAGGGAAGTTTTCTTCCATGACATCTGTGAACAAGTTTTTATATATATATATATATATATATATATATATATATATATATATATTATTTGTGCTATTTCCTACTTTTTCATTGACTCCAATCGATTTTATGTTATTCTTTGTATCATCTAGCAGCTGCTGGATTCATTTCTCATGGCCCCTTGCTATTTTTAAAAAACCTTTCTTTTCATGATCTCTAATTGTAAGCTTTGTCTTCTGTGTCTGAGTGTTTGTCCTCACATTGTTTTATTCTTCTGTGGGTACTTTCAATGGAATTTTTAGTTTTCTGTATATCTGATTGAGTCTGTTTTATGAATTCTGTTTCATTCCTATGTTGACCATTCATGGTTTCCATCATTTTCCTAAGCCCCTCTATTTTTTTACCTGTATCTACTCTAGAGTCACTAAGCATGTTTTTTGTTGTGGTCACTATATCTGTAGTTATTTGAGAAATTACTTTTAATTTGATTTTTTCCTAAACCGCCATTCGTTTTGTTGTTACCACTGAAGAGAGGTCAAGTGAGTGACTTTTGGAACATCCTACCTCATTGCCCTCTAAGTTGGCCTTTGGTGAACTGGATGTCTGGCATTACATCTTATTTAAATATCTTCTCATTTTCTTTTCTTTTTTTTTAGTTTAATTCCTGGGTTTATGCTTATAAATTACCTATTGCAAATAGCTTTTTGCTAGTATTTAGAACCCTATTTCTCAGAATTGTCTTATAGGTATAGGTTTTGGGGTTTTGAGTCTTTTGCAAGATCCTACCTCTTTAATTTGTTGGGATAAGAAGTTGCTGCTTGTTTGGCCCAGCCCCTGGTTTGTTGGCACTGACACACTATTTTCTGTGACCCTTCGGTAATCTCAGTTTTGTTGTACCAGAAAGAACAGATAGTTAGAATAATTATGTAACTTTGGCTAAAGTGGTACAGTCAGCAATAACAGTAGTATCAAACAGCCTAGAAGATGACAAAATTAGGTAACCATTAATTTTCTGTCTTTAACTATATGAACTAGATTTGTGGTTATATAACAAAATCTAAAACAAACCAGAAATTTTTATGCAGTAAATAATCCCTCAATGCACCAATTTTACCCTCAGGGAAAAAATATAAAAGGGGTAGGGGGAAAATACAGAAATAGAAAGGCAGAAGAAATTAGAAACAAGGCTGGAGGACAAGTGAGGTTCATGCAGACTTTGGGAACCTGATTCAGAAGACAGGTTTAAAAGAGAAAAGGAAGAAATAAAAAAAAAGAGCAGAAAAAGAACAATAAAACTAGAAACCACATTCACACTCTTATAAAAACAAGATCTAACAATGAAGGGGAAAAACACCAGAAGGTAAACACAGAGACAGACAGACAGACAGACAGGCAGACAGAGACAGAAAGAAAGTCCACTTCCAGGTTTGTTTTTACTGTCATTGGTAGACAATGTGTGCAAACAGAGTTCATATCCATGATTTAAGCCAGCAGTAGTTTCATGGTGGGTATTGGATAATCTCAGCAAGCATGCACCTTTATTTTCCCTGAATTTCAGGTTGATTTGTGGCCATGAGGCTGGGACTATCCCGTTCATCCTGCAGCAGTCAGTGCACCTTCTGCATACTTGAACTAAGCTGGGAACCACTAGATGGATCTAATAGTTGTTCACATTTCCAAGCTCAGTTGGCCCCTCTCCAAGATGACTCCTGGCTAATCACCCTCTCTCATAAGATGTTCAATTCCACACCATTTACCAACAGGCAATGAGAGTTTCATGTCCACTGTTTCTTTTCACTGCTGTGTCTCTCCATGGTGGCCTCTGGGGTTGCCAGATATCACTGCGTTTCCACAAGTTTGAACCACTCCTCCCATGCAGTGAGTCCTGACTCAAGGAAAAGACTCTACTAGCTATCTCCTTCATCATTTAACTTTCTTCACTTCACATGGGCTTCCATTCTCACTTCAGATTCCTTCTGGGCCCAGGAAATCTGCTTCCCTCCTTTTCTCTTCCTCAAGTCACTATATTCTAGTGTCTGTACTCCAGTTCTCTGCTGCTCACGACTGTACCATATTTCAGGAAGTGTCTAACCTCCATTATATTTGAAAATTACAGCTTACAGGGACATGTAGAATATATAATTCTACCATAAACACCCTTAGAATAAACATGGCTTCCAATTCAAAGGTAAATAGTAGACACAGGCAATGATTCTCACACTGGCTTCATGTCTTAATCACTTAGAAAACTTAGAGGAAAAAAATAAAGCTTACTGGCTTCCACTCTAGACCTGCTGAAACAATCCCTAGGAAGAAAACCTTGGAATAATTTTTATGCTTGTTTCATGCTTTCTTTTCCCTCTCTTCCTGTTCCTTACCTCTCTTCCTCCCTATGTTTCTTCCTTTTTAACATCTGTTCTTAAAACTTCTCAAGTGCTGGTACAGACTGTCCAAGGCCAGGACATTTGGGACCCTTCAAAGTAGAACATGTGGAAAAATGATTACTTGCTTAGCCTTCAGGGTTTCTGTGATTTTGTGCCATTACTAATAAGAGAGTTTGAAACTGTGCTTTCTAACAAGTAATAGGAATATAACTCTTCTAGGTAGTAAGTTGAAAGCAGAACAGAACTTTTCCAACAGTGGAGTTGGGAGAAGTTTGGCAACCTCTCATCAAAACTGAAGGATGTAATTTACCCAGGTTTGCTTAGGCACAGCAGGTCACCTTAGTACTACTTTGCAGTGAGCTATGGGGAGCGCTAGACTGGAGTAGATTTTCCTTAGACAATAATTAGACAATAAACAGTTGTTAGTAGCATAAATGCTGAGATTTCTCTTAACAATAACATGGAAATAAAAATTTTCACCTAGGAGGTTTTAAAAGCAGGCTTAATGTCCACTAGATGAGAGTGGGAGAAAAAGCAAGCATGAGTCACTGAATATTGTTAATGAGGCATGCAGCTAGAAGCAGGACTGCTTGGTGGTCTTCCCTTCTTCCCTGGGATAAGTCATTGGAGAAATACATAACAATCAAATTGAGTGAAACTAACTAGAATGAACTGGACATGCCTAAAGAAAAAAATTTAAAGGAGGTGATATTTGAGCTAGAGTTTGAAAGGTAAGTAGAAATACACAGAAACTATGGGGAACCAATGTGTACCCTTGAACAAGGAACCAAGGTATGGAGAATACAATATGGAAGAGGCATGAACTAGTCCAGTATCTTTAAGGCAGACAAACTACTAGTAAGGAAGCTATTGCCAACCTGGTATTACAAATGTGGCAAGACTGGGCACATTGCCAATGGAGTGGACTTTATTAACCAATGCATAGGGAATCCTTAGACCAACCACAACAAAACACTTAAACCTAAAGTACCTATCTTATATCCTAGCTTCTAGTACAGTGGTGGCAAACCTATGGCATGCATGTTGCAGTGGGCTGTTTATATCCTTGAAAGATCTAAAAGGTACCCCTATCACTGTTCTAGAACCTACAATTAATCGTATTCTTTATCCTATTGCAGCTTGGAAAGAGCATAGGTAAGACTCATGCTGCTAAACTGTCATGAGCCTCCAACCCATATCCTCATGGACCACTGCTGCTCAGTATCCACTTAGAGAAAGCATTTCTTCTATGTAGGCCCCCACTATGTAATCATCACTTCCATCAGTATACCCACATGCAGGTCACTGGGCAAGGTTCTCAAGCTAGACAATGGTCAATTGTATCCAGTCATGGTTGTCAATCTTTTTTTTTTCATCTATGATGAAAATGAGTATCTGTTTAACCAATGGCTTTGTTCCTTTGGCTTGCCATTTATACCACTCCATTCTAGTCCATTATACAACTTTTAAAAATTAACTTTTAAAATGAGTAGATAAATACCACTCTACCATTTTAAAATGTCATGTACATGTACCAGCTCCACATGATGAATGTAACCATAATGTACTACAGATAAGTATCAATAATTTTTTAAAAAATAGAATCTAAAAATAATATTGGGTAAAACAAAAAATGAGTAGAAGTTATCAAGAAGAAAAGGGTTGGAGATCCAGAGAACTTGGCGGACAGATAGCAGCAGCTACGCAGGTTCTCTCCGAGACCCAGGTTAGAATCCAGGAATGGTGCAGAGGGAGGAATCCTAAGCAAGAGGAGATATACCCTGCTGACCCAAGAACGAACTGGGCTGAGAGATACCAACTGGGAATGCAATCCTGGTGCTATAATAGGAACAGATAAAGCCTGAGTGTGGAAGCTGGAGCCCGTGCCATTGAAAGCCGTGATTTGGGTTTCCTGCTGCCGCGGCTACATCTGAATCAGCTCAGCAGGGAGAGAGATGCACGAAAGCGCTAAGAACAGGAATTGGTGAACGGAGTTAAGAGCTGGGTGGGCGGGGAGCCGTACATCGACCTCTGGTGAGTGAGAAAAACTGGGATTCTCCCACGGTCTAGGAGGCGCCAACAGAGGACATTCTGGGACCAGGCAGACTTGCTGGAACAGGGAGCTGTAGTGACTTCAGTCACATATCCCCCTTTCAAGTGGGATTGGTGAGCAGTGCCTAGCCTATGTGACTCTGCTGTGTGAGACACAGTAGGCTAGCACAACCCAGATCCCAGCGCCTGAAGGTGCACCCTAGCAATGAGGCCTTTCCTTAGGTTGGCCTGGAGGGGCGGCCCCGCATAGACTACTTGGTGTGCTGCGGTGGGCGGGAACACCTAGCCAGCGCAAGTCAGTCAGACTGTGGCCAAAAGGGAAGGAAGCTGGGCCTCCCATATATGCTTGCATATATAACGAACAAAGAATATGGGAAGAGGGAGCAACAAGAAAGGTTCCTCAGCCCCAATCCTGAGAAACAGGTAATAGCAGACACGCCACCAATAGACATAAAAGGCTATCTCCAGAGCCTCATAGACAAGTTCAGGAATGAAGTTATTAATGACCTGAAGCAAGACATAAACAGAATAGTCAGAGAAATGCTAAGCACCACCCAAGGAAAAGCAGATGGTGGAATGGAAGAACAGAAAAAGAGGGGAGAATTATTTGATGGAGAAAATAGAGAACATGTAGAATACATGAAGCAGGTTCAAAGGGATTACCAGGAAACTAAAACCTCTATCAAAAACTGGCATAACAGCTTGAAAGAAACTAAGGACACATTATCTGAACTGGAGCGCAGATTTGTAATATGGGAGCATGAAATGAAAAACTTCTTAAAAATAACAAAAAAAAACAAACAGCAACTATACAAAGGCTGGAAGATGATAAGAGGATCTAACTTAAGAATTAAGAACATAAGAGAAGAAGTGGGGACACAAACAAATGGACTACAAAAGCTATTCACAGAAATAATCCAAGAGAATTTCCCTAATTTAGCAAATGGTAGAGATACTCAGATATGTGAGGCATACAGGACTCCAGCTACCTACAACCCAAATAGAGCTACACCCAGGCATATAATAATCAAAATTCCCAAAATCCAATATAAGAACAGAATATTAAAAGCTGTCAGAGACAATAAACAGATCACTTACAAGGGAACACCCATCAGAATTACAGCAGAGTTCTCGGCACAAACCATCAAATCATGAAGAGCGTGGGGGGAAATAATTCAAGCTTTGAAAGATAATAACCTCCAGCCAAGATTGAGATATCCTGCACAACTATCCCTGGAAATTGATGGAAAAACAAGGTGCTTTCAGGATAAAGAGGAACTAGGGGAATATGCAACCACCAATTCAACTCTACAGAGAATACTGCAGGATATTCTAAAAAACAAAAATATGAAGAATCCAGAAATAGTGGCAGAGAGGCCACAATGAATGGAGCAGAAAAAATGAAGAACAAAAACTGACAGCTAATGACAGAAAAAGAGCTCAAGAGACATGAGGCAGAGAAGATTGGATGATAGGAACAGCTATCTTGGAGAAAACGACATCATAATAGGTAGTGCTGATTTGGTATCATCTTATTTTGAAGTCCCATCAAGCTTTTGTTCTTCTGTCTCCATAGGTCTTAACATGTTGTTATCTTATTGGATTTTATTATATGTGATAGTATAAACAAAAACTTTTATAGACGAGATTATACAGAAACCATAGTTCATTGTCTGTTAGTTGATTCTAAATACCCTGTAATACTGTCATTCTCTTGAATGGTTATACATTGTGTTGATATATTTGATGCTACACTATACCAAGTTATACTCAAAGATCTCAAGCAAAGAGACAATATGGTAACTACTTTTATGTTGGGATTATCTTGTGGTGAAACACTATTTTGCTTAAATGGTTATGTATGGATCTGCACTGTTTAGTTGTTATGCCCTCTTTTATCTCAATCTCCATTTTATTATTTACTTTTTTATTTTTATCCTTTTAATTAAAGGGAAAATAAATTTTAAAAAAGCAGGGTATATTATAGTAACCACTTTGATATTCTGTTAACTTGATTTGAAGCCCTGTATTGCTCTCACCATCTTGTTTTGACTGCTGTTCCTCTATTCTGCTTTGCTTGATAGTACCAGGTTCGAAAGTTTAGGCAACAGCTGTGAAGATAGTGGGATTCATTATGATGCTCATACTGGTTGACTATTATCTACTTTTAAAGACCTGTAATGTCTCCAATGTTTTGGTTTTGTTGGTTTCATTCTTTACTGTTTTGTTCAATTTTATTATAACTGATGATATAGGCAATTTTATTTGAGATAGCAGGAGGCATTATGGTAACCATTGTTGATCACCTTGTATTATGTTTTTACATTATCTATTATGTCCACCCTTTTGATTTAACCAATTCTGTTCTGTTAAGTCACATTTGGTTTTACTGTCTTCCAAAAAAAAACAATAAGAACTGTGGGAGCAATAAAACCCAAAATGTATAATAGTCACTGTACAAAAGAGAGGAAAAGAAAGTGCTCTAAATGGTATAACTGCATGTAAATTTAAGTGTATAAGATAGACAATGATATTAGTGAGTTTTGTTGGATCACTGAACAGAACTGTTTGCAGTCTCGCTGTTTGAATGTCCACTTTATATGATTTAATCTTGTAACTTGAACAAATATTTCTAAGATGACAATATGTAATTCATTAACTAATGATTTCCTACTGTTTATTTTTTTCTGAAATTCTGTATAACTTGTACCCTTTTTCTGTTTTTTTCCTTTTTCTCCTTAAATAAAAAAAATTTCATAATAAGCTAGAGAAAAACAAAAAAAAAAGGGTACAAGGGACATTTAACAGTAACAGGACAGCTTATACAACACAGGTTCAGAAGTAATTAGTGTTCCACTTTGGCTAGAACATTTGAGCAAGTAGAGGGAAAGTAGGCTGAAGGTGAGACCAGCAAAATGGATTGGGATCAGATTATGAAGTTCTTGTACAACATATTAAGGTATTTGGGCTTTATACTATTATTCTTGGAGAGAATATCACAAATGATGCTTAAATATGACAGTCAATTTTCTGAAATGACTGCAATGTGTAAAGATCTCTTTGTTTGTAAAATGGAGAAGACACATGGGACAATAAAGACTGGAGGCAAGGAGATCAGTAAGGAAACTCATCATCCTAGCAAGAGTTAATAAAGTCTTGCTTGTGGCATTGGCAGTGGGAATGCAGTTGAAAAGACAAGTTTAGCATAGGGTCAGTATTGCCCTGATGACTTTTCAAATGTGAGATATTGTAGAAGGAATAAGAAAGAGAAAAGAGTATCTCGGTATCTCGGGCAGTTAAATAGATGGTACAATAAACACAGATGAGCAGATATCATGAGAAATCATTTTAATACGTTGTACAGTCTTTATAATCTGACTCCAATCCATTTTCCTGGTCTCACCTTCAGCCTATCTTCCCTCTACTTTTTCAAAATTTTAGCCAAAGTGGAATACTAATCATTTTTGAACCAGTTTCGCATAAGCAGTCCTGTGACTGTGAAATGTCCTTTACACCCTTACATGAGAAATCTGTTGTGCCAGATTTTGGATAGTGATTTTAAAGACATTATGGAATATCCAAGGAGTGGTATCAAGTGTGTCAGTGTACTTTAGACTAGTAGTTGGGGCAGGACCTACACAAATGTATGGGATACAACTGTTGAGGACAGCAACTATGTAACTCAAGTGTGGAGCATCCAAATATACTACACTAAGAGCATGAATAGTAGCACTTGGGGAACCCTAATGTTTGGTGATAATTGAAATAATGGGTGAGAATAAGATCATTCATGTGATAGATATAAACAATTTCAAGAGAGAACAGAAAAAACAGAAGGCTGAGGACATGGCTATAGGGACTAGCTGTTGTGTGGGATGCTCTGTTCACAGTATAGGGGAATGTATTCTCCAGGATTGTCTCTTTCTCCAAATTGTCCCCAGAAAAGTGTAATTTAGGATTAATCTAAACACATCATGTGATTGGGTAAGGCAGTTTGGTCTTTAAGACAAAGAAAGATCGATCTTTTACATGGTACTTGTTCTGCCCTTTTGCCCTTCTCACTGTTAGAGATGATCACAGAATGCAGTTTGTAATCTTTGGCAGATTTTCATGGCTCAGCCAGGCCACAAAACCTGCAGAGCCTAGGTTAGTGTGGCTGGAAGCTGGGCAAGTCCTTGACCAGTGGGAGCCATGATCTTATACTCTCCCTTGGCCAAGCTGGTGTGCTGGAACTCAACTCTGGCAGCCCAGGTCCATAGTCTGGTTCTTAAAGGATTCTTCTGCCACTTGAAAGGTGTCTTTGTGTGTGGAACACTGGGCTCTCTAAATCTATTAGAGAAGTTGGCCAACTATAAATATGCTCTAAAATATCTGGACAGAATCACTTTCCCATTTTTCAAGTGAATTGTTTAACATTGGTCTGGAGCGTTTCCCCATCTCCTTAGTTTGTCTTTCCTATCCTGTTCTAGAGGCTTATTGAGATATCTTTCTTCTTTTGCCCACAGTTCTCAAGACAGACTTCCTAGAGATGAGAGTTGAGGCCATAGGTATGTAGTTTCTACCCTTGATTATAGAATCTTGTTCCATTAAGCCTTCTTTTTGGAATGTGAATTTTCGAGGACTGGGTTAACATGTAAATCCAGAGAGTAGGAACCTACCTCCATGCCTCAGTTCATTAGTCTAAAATTGCATGGCACTTAAAATTAGTTCCTTTCAATTCTGAGGTTTTATATGATTTAAGTCACCTTCTCCTAGCCTTTTTTTTCTTTTTCAGCTGAACTATAGTGTAGTTTTATGGTTTGCCTTTGAATTGAATGCATTAGAAATCCTAGTCTGTGATATTTTGGGCAAGTACACTTGCCTTTCTAAATTTCAATTTCTTGGTCTATAAAATGAGTAGTTGGAACCTTGTAACTCTGAAAGCTGTTAGATCCATAAGGAAAGCAGTAACTTCCTTTTTGGTATTGTAACAGGTATCAGGAAGCTACCTCAGTGTCAATAGTGGGACCTCATCCCTTCAGACCCTATAACTATTTGAGTAATACCCACCTGAACCTTCATCCTTAGACCTTTATATTTGCCTAAAACAGAGTACTTTCATATCCATTATCCAGTTTCAGACAAATCACGCCTGGAACAAGGAAGATAATGTATGTTCTAACTCAAATAAATGAACTGAAATTCAGAGGATAAGTCATTTGTCAGGGTCATAGCATTGAAGGCCAAGGAAATGCCTTTCTCTACCTTGAAGTTAAGATTGCTTATCAGATTTCTGATATGATATGGACTAATGCACACATAAATGAGGCCCAAGTATCTGGAGATTGTCTTGTCATGTGACTTTTAGTCTTTTGTTTCTTCCTATCTCTGCCAGTCCTCAGAGCTCCATTTTTATTGGCCCCTATAAAGATGAAGTCCCAGTAAAAAGAATATTGGAGATACTGTAGGGCCATTGAAAAAGTGGTCATGATATAGATGAGAGTAACCTCAGAAGTCCCAATATCAAACTTGTACTTTCCTTGGTAAGCATTTTGGAAATCAGAGTTGCAATCAAAGGCATAAAATCTCCAGGTCTGATTATAGCACCATTTTAGAACTGTTTTATGGGATCTGAGCTGTAAGCTAGCCTCTGTTGCTCAGAAGTTTAGCTACCAATCCTCGGCTCAGCTACATTCAAGAAAGGTCCCAAAGTTCATTGGCTACTAAGTTTTTAGCCAATCGTGCTAATTGCATACTCTTTTCTTTTCCTTTCAGATTTTAAAAGCCTTGACCTCGAGGGACCCTTTCCAGGTTCTGAAAGGGTCTACTTCAAACCCTGGTGTACTGAATCATTCTATGCTGAAGAGCAGCTCCTTCCTGGCTCTTCAACTTCAGGCTCTGGGAATTCATAAAATAAGGGGCACATGTCTTAGAAACATGCTTATTTCTCTTTTGTATTCTGTCTTCATCTTCTCAGAGGTTCTATCTTGAGCTCCTGTAACACTGTGAAATGGCTGAACTCCCTCTGCAAAAACCAAGCTCTCCACTGATGAATTGAAGAGGGGAGCCTAGTTTTCAACTTCTTCTGAACTGCCTGCTTCCTCAAAAGGCCACTGAACTTGGAAACATTCAGGGCTAAAGCTCCATCTCAGGAGCTTTCACTTAACTAAAGGCCACTTGAGTTGGGGCCATTGCTTACTTGGGTTGGAGGGAAGTAGAAACATTTCCTGAACAATGGAGAATCTTAACATGTCTCTTACTTAGAATGTGGACACTGATGCCAGGCTTATGTTCTGGTGCTGCAGCATGTTGCCAAGAACCTGTCTTCTCCTGAGGGGTTAGATGGCATGGATGATGCCTCAATAGGATCCTCCTCCCATATGAACCCACTCTTGCATACAACCACTTAGAACAAATCTGCAAAACATATTTTGCATATGGAAGTCTATATCTGTTTGGATTATCATTCCTTCCATCTTCATCCTCATCTGACAGCTTCCTTTCTAAGCAATCAAGAAAAATAGAAAATGAAAAAACAAAATTGGAAAACATATATTTGAAGAAAGCAGACTTTGTCTTGTCGCAGTTCCATTCTTCGGTCATATGCTAGAAAAAATTGTTAAAATGGGTTGAGATGAAGCAGCTATTGCTGTTGGTTCATTTTTGTCTTCTGCTGATAAGCTCTTTTTGTCTTCTAAAAAAACCAGTTCTTAACCCAGTGCCCGTGGATTCAAGAATTCCATAATGCCCTTAAGATGATATACATAATTGCATGACAGTATGCCTTTTCTGGGCAGACAAATATCCAGTGAGCCTGTGACCCAATAAATGTTCAAAAGCGTAATCCCTGAGATAAAAGACTCTTCAGTACCCATAAAGTTCTTTATTAGAAGGGTTTTACAAAAGCATTTAGTCCACTAGTCTAGTTACTGGCAGAGGAATGTGGCCACAGCAAAACAAGATCTCAGGTCCCCAGGCTCCTAAGCAAGGTTATTTCTATTATACCACACTTACATAGCAAAGATCCTCATGTTTAGTGACTTTGATGGTCATTATTTTGTGGATTTGGCTTTACCATCTTTGAGCCCAATATATTTGCATCCAATTTGCCATCTCAATCACTGGAGGGGAACTAATAAAATTCAGTGCAGTGGATCAAAGATCTGAGGAATAGACCTTTCTGGATCCTGTTTGTTAAAGAGAAGCTGCTAGAAAGAGTGTCCCACTTGTGTTCTCTTTAGATGCACAGGCCAGAGCCTGTATTTAGGGTTTATATAATTATTATAGGGTCCAATATAAGAGAAAGGACTCTCCAACTTGCAAGACCCTGGTAGTTCACTTGATGAGGGGAAGGAAGAAGCACATATGTCCAAACCTACATGCCTTTTGTACAATGCTACTGAAAAGTGATAGTTTTAAGACTGGGTTCCAGAAATATTTTATTTCTGGATTAGGAACACTTCCAAACACAGTGAAAGCCTTTGTGAGTATAATTAAGTAGAAACTTGATACCATTTTAAATCAAAACATGCCCACCTGGCCACAATGACCTTTTCCACCCAATCTCAAAGGCTATGTCACTAAGAAATCAGGAGCAAGAGAGCCAAATGACCATCATTCCATCTGCTGCTCACCCTCAAAAGTAGTCTCTCTGAGGCTTTCGGGCTTTGTTGAGCTAACTAAAGTAGTTAGGTGTGCAGAAGTTGGCCACAGAAGCAGTAGATAGTGAAACCTTAATACTTTGGAAGATGGTAGAGACATGGTTTGACTTTGGTTTTTCTTGGATGAAAATGCCACAATCACCAGTACAAATACTGGAGTATCAGGCCTAGAAAAGTTCTGCAGTCCAAGTGGAAAAGGTATTCAGAAACTTGGGAAGAACATTGCTGTGTTCCTTAGAACACAGCTATCCTGAAGAGATTGGGCCACTAGTCTCACTGAAAGCCAGAGAACAGTGGTTAGCTATCTCTGCACCTGCACTGGGTTATCCCTAAAGAATATACTACAGTGTCTCCCATTGGCACTCTGACTTAAAGAGCAAAAGCTTCTAAGGAGAGGCAGGCTATTTGGGTATGAGATTGGCATGGCCTAGGCTTGACGGATGGTCATTCAGAACAGATTATAGCAAGAGGATGATAATCAGATAGTGGCTGCTATAGGAAATTATCAGCAACCTTGGCCAGTAGATTAGAGAAATTGCCAATGGGTAGACTGTAGCTCTTGAACTAAAGAAGCTAACAATTATGAAATACATATGAAGTGCTAGATAATTCATATAGATTATCTCATTTCATCCTTTTAACAATCACTGAAGTACTCATCTCATTTTACAGATAAAGGAATTATGACCCAGTGGGCTTAAATAACATGTACTAGAGTACAGAGATAGTAAATAATAGAACTATTATTTTGGGTCCAGGAATCTCTGACTCTATACCTCATGCTATCTTCCCTTTGTTACAGTAAGGTAGGTGTTTGAATAAAGGCCATATTACTGGATTTTGCATGACTCTTGACTCTTTCCTGCTTAATGTAATATTAAAAGGTAAGCATTTGAGAGAGGGAGAAGATGCAGGTCCTTTACAGGGGAATGAAAACTGGCTAAAAAATGTGCCCAAGTTGGGCTTTCTCTTCATCTTCAGTTTGCCCATTTGGTAATAATTTTCTAAAAGCCATACCCAGTTTTCAACGGGAAAAGATCCTTATGTTTGTATCTGTACTTCTTGAATCTTGCCAGGGATATAGCATGTACAACTTTAGTCCAGGAGATTGGTGACCCACCCCCGGAATGCAGTTTGAGAAGCAGAAAAAGTTTCTATGCTATGCCTCTGTAGTATTTGATGACTTGGAGTCATAGCCCTACAAATTTTTTCGGTGGTGATAACAAATGTCATGAGATTTTAAAAAAAAAATATTACTGAATTTTTATTTTTGAGGTTTTGTAAAAGGTGTTTGGGGATGTCACACCACTGAGAGGCAAAACCAGGCATCCAATTTTCATATTAAAATACTGTCGTGTAAATTATTTTTAAAATACTATCATGGGGAGATAGCCTTCCATTTTCAAGAAGTTCCTTGATTCTGTGATAACTAGAACAAATAAAGTAATACACTAGTAGTTCTGTGACTAAAAAAAATTGTCTTTTGAGAGAATGTAGATTAATCATGCTACTATTAAAGTAGTTATAGACAAGTGGCCTTAATACATTAGAAGCCCACAAAAAGCTTCGGGAAAAAAAGTTGCAGAGAGAAACAAGGTAACTTGAGATATTTTTAATGAAGTGGTCTTCATTTTCACCCAAAAATGAGGCAGTTGATGCCAAGGACATTAATAAGAATTCAAAAGACTACCTATATGGAATGTATGTGTGAAATTAGGGGAAAAAAGATATACTGGGACCCATTCATTTGACTTCAATAAAGTATACAGACTGTCTAAATGGTCTTCATATGCAGTTCTATCATGGACACAGTCTTTGAGCATATCAGACACCATGATACAGCTACTACTTACTACTCAGATTATCTTTTACAAATCTAAATATATGTAGGCACAGAATTCTTTTTGGACCTCAGAAGCTCAATCCACTATATGTAGTTTGAATCATGGCCTTTCATTCCCTCAGGCCTCACACCATCCCTGTGTGATAACTGACAGTCCTATGTTATAGATAAGGAAGGTGGGGGTTCAGGAAGATGAGAGATGATTTGTCCAAGATTATACACTAGGAATTGATAAAAATTCAGGACTGGACTCTACAAAGAACTTTCTGCTACTCTCCAGCAGTAGAAAAAAAAAGAGTCCTAGAGATAAGGAGAATATACTGAGAAATAGGATTGATTAAAACATCTGCAAGTCTTGCTACTCAAAATGTTATCTTGTTATCAATATTACCTAGGAGCTTCTTAGAAATGCATTCTCAGGACCTACCCTAGACATCTAGAATTAGAGTCTATATTTTAAGATCTCTAAGAGATTCTTTTTTTTATCTTAAAGAGATTAAGATAAAACAGGACATAACAGCAGATCAGAACAATGTAAGTAAAACAGTATTTCACCAGGAGACAATCCATAATTAACAGTAACCACCATGATGTCTCTTTCTTTGAAATAGAGTATGACTTCATGTACAATAGTATCAAACATAACAAAATTGTATAAAAACACTCAAGAGAATGAGAGTATTACAGGGTTTTCAGAACCAAATAACAGAAAACAAACAATTTTCCATAGGAAATTTGTTCATACTTTTACACGTTATACTATCCAATAAGGTAAAAATGATAAAGCCAATGGAAACAGAAGAGCAAGAGCATGGTAGGACTTCAGAGTAAGATGATATTGTATAAATACTGGCTATTATAATGACTTGTTTCCCTCAAATTAGCTGTTCATCCCATCACAGATAATAAAATAAAAAAACTAGGACAAACACATTACAACTGTGATCATTATAAGTCCTCAAAACAATGTAATGATACTCATTTCTGAGAAGAACTGGGTAAGGCTGGTCTTATAAGTAGAGAATGATTACAAACACTGAACACAAAGTTGCGTGCTTCCTGCATTGCTCTGCACATGTTCTTGTGTTTTGGTGAAAGTGAATGAAGTTTCTTTACCTCACTAATGAGACCAACCTAGAGAATAAGACTGAAAGTTACTTAGCTTTCAAATTCTGTGCAGTAGAATGGCAACAGGGAGAGCGATTGGAAAGAACTCCTTTCAAGAGCTTCAAGGGTCCTGATTAAACTTTGTCACTGGCTTCCTGCAATGCTGAGCAAGTTCCTCTCTTTCTAAGCTTCAAATTCTTTAAGTCAGGCAGTTCAAAAATGGTTTTTACACCTTTGACATTCTGTTTTCCTCAGATGTGAATTTTGCCAAAGTCTTTATTGTAATGAAAATGGAAAATTTTGCTGGTCTTTGACCATAGTTAACAATATTTAGTTCAAATAAGAAGGGTTATTCTGGGAAGAAATTTAACAGTAATGGCAAAGAAACATGAATGGAAACTTCAAGGTACTAGAAAGGACATGACTAGTTCAACAACTTGGAATTAGCCAGTTCTTATAAAGTGTAACAGAACATCCATACTGTTTTGAAATGCAGTGACCTCAAACCATACTTGAGAAATCAACTCATATACCATGATCTAATACCATCTTTGCATGATCTAATAAGATTAACTGTGCCTTTTAGGAGATAGTGTTATGGGGTAGAAGGGATATATAAAAGAGGTAAACTTGTTCTCCCACTATCTCTTTAACATGAGTCTGATACCTGTTATCTGAATGCCACTAGCTGTAAATTAACCTCTTAGAGATGGAGAAATAACCTCAAAATATGGAAATGTACTTGCTTAAGGGCACACACCAGAGCCAAAGACAGAAAACAGGTACTCATTGCCAGTACAAAGGTATTTCAACCCCACTTTTTTGGGGTGATCAGTATACCAGAGTCTAGATACCTATCTCCAGCAACAGGCCACACACTGGGGAGGAACGATATGGTTTCCATCTAGAAGCTTTGTCTCCATCTCATGTTCATACTTATTAACTCATTTGAACCTCTTGAAGCTATGTCATCCCCATATTATTGAGACTCAGAGAAGTGATATACCATACCCAAAATCACATAGTCAGGAAATTAAGTTACCTGGTTTCTCTTTTGCTCTACTACTTCTTTAGGGGAGATGCAGCACTTCAAATGCTGGGTCCTCATGGGAAATATAATGGGCTTTAAGTTAGTAATTCTTCAATTCAGTTGCTTCAATTTTTTTTTTCTCTTGGAGTCTCTAATCTTTGTTTGACTTAATATTTTTCAGGACACTCTTAGGTTCCATAAATCATTTTGTCCTTAGAATAGCTCCATAATTTAGGAAGGAAAAATATTTTGCCCCATATGACAGACACACAAGTTGAATCCCAGCAGCAAAGCATAAATCTATTGCTACTGTAACAAATCACAAATTTAGCAGCTTAAAACAACATGTATATGCTATCTCACAGTGTTTATAGGTAAGAAGTTTAGGCTATCATGGCTAGATCCTCTGCTATGGTTCTCAGTGAGCTAAAGCAAAGTCAGATGGCCTATGGCTGCTGTCTGAGTCTTCTTACCTCAGTGGGTGTTGGAAAAATTCACTTCCTTATGTTGTGGCACTGAGGTTCTCACTTTATGAACATAGGTCTATTTGCATCATCAAGTGAACAACAATGTGTCAATTTTTTAGCTTTCCCTTCATTTCTCTTGATTTCCTTTTCTGACTCTGATATTTATACTCCACAACTGGAGTGATTTCATTGCTCCCAGTCAAATAATCCTGGATTGTCTTTTTGGTCTCTATCTTGAAGTCAACAGTAACTTTAATAACATGCTTAACTTCCCTTTTGCCATGTAACCACAGTTGTGGACATCAGAGTATGGAATTTCCTCGAGTCATAATGGGTGCTTATAATAGGCATGAAGAAGTTGCTACTAAAGCTCACTTTTCAGCATAAAGGCATGTGATTATCACAGATTAATTCTGGAGAGGAATAAAATAACACATTAGATGCTACCTCATTGGTAGCACCCTCATTCCAGGGTTAAAACTCTCCTATATGCCAAACTCACATAGCGCAGTTGAGCAGCACACTAGAGGAAGTAGTAGCAAGAGTGCAATGGGATTCTGGAAGCAGATGGTTTTCCCAGATGGTACCTTTGTGCTGATGACTAATCCATTAACCAATTTCAGTCCAGCCCTAGGAAGAGAGGCAAAAGTATTTTCCACAAAAGTCCAAGATGAGAAGTGTACTTCCCATGGTCATATCACTTGACCATTAGAGTTAACACTTACACAATGTCTCCTACATGAAAAATGTGTTTCTAACTGTTTTTATGCACTTATTGAATTTGTCCTAAGTCCTGATATTATCTCTACTTGGTAGATGAGAAAACAGAATTTTTTTCAATTTCTCACAGCCAAGAAATAGTGAATGCAGTATTCAAATCCATACTATTTCCTTACTTAATTCCTGGGAAAATCCTAACCCACTATCTTGGGAAAACTCCGCTAGAAGAGAGATTAAGGCCAGTTTGGTTTGAAAGTTCCTTATATTTTGATCCTCTAAGCTTTTTCTCAGTGACCTGGTGTTCTGACATCACAATTTAGGACAGATAAGTTTTCTGAAGGATTTTGTTAACTTTAGAACCATGCTAGGTTTTATAGAATCAATGACCTGCAAAATGAAGATGCCATATCTATTTTTTATGGAGGGTAGGAGAGACTGTCATGTCAGATAGTTGGGGTCAAAATGGAGTGGCTCCCAGGAATGTGCTATACAGAGTAGTACTTCCACTGGGGGCCTCCTATGAAATACAGGATCTCCCCATTTTGGTATGTGTGTTAGCTTTCTGTTATTACAACAAATACCTGAGAGAGAAAAATGTCTTCTGGTGCACAGTTTCAGAGGTTTAACTCCAGGATTGGTTGTCCTTGTTGCTTTGGATGAGGCAGTACATC